ACCAAATGAAAAGAATCAGAATCAATGACTGGAGTCCCATTATTTGTTCCTCATTGTTTTCTTTATTTGAATCACACCATTTTTTTTTCTCCAAGTACATGTTCAAGGCTGCTGATTACATTTCTGTCCACTTAGTTGGTTACCACTTAAAGGAAAATATAGGAAAACAGGAAATGGGAACAAAATTTAGAGATCAATGCATAACATCCAAGAGCTCGCCTGATCACCTGGAGAGATTATACAGGACAGGAAAAAGGGGACAACTTCTTGGGTGAAAGGAAGAGCTCTAGAGGAGAAGCTTCATCAGGAGAAGCCCAAGAAAGGCCGAGAAGAAGGATGCAAAGAAGGGAGGGGCTTTGCTGATAGCTTTTATAAAGGTATCAGGGTCTGTGCTGCAGACAACGCTTTCAACGACCGTTTCAAATGGAACATTACGTATGGCATCAACAGGGAGTTTCTGCCCTATCGTCTTTTTCTCTCGCTTGCACTCACTTTCCAATTCGCAACCTGCTGTGGTGACATTGTCTGCAGGAGCAAAAGAGAAATGTTAGTGCTCGGAGCAATCACTCAGATTTAAAGGAATTCCTCCACCCACCCAAATACAAGAAATCATGTAGATTTCCAATAATATCTACATGACCCGGTTCAAAATACCCTACTTCAAATGCATTATGTGAAGCTCCAGCTCTTTGAAGAAGGCTGTAATGCTGGGAAAGGTAAAAGAAAAGAGAAGAAGGGGACAACCAGCATCAAGGTGGATGGGCTTCATTACAGTTGTGAAGGGGGAGGACTGTTGAAAGACCTGAAGAAACAATCACTAACCTGATGGGACAGGATAAATCAGATTTATGTGACCTGTCTTACTTACATTTTCCATCTTTACTCTTCAACTTCGTAATTATACAGACAAAATTCTCAGGACAGTCATCCTTTACATCAGAGCAATATCCATTGATTGCTAGACATTCTACACACTGCAGGGAATGACCTGGAAAGAAAAGTGGAAAGGAGATAAGAAAGTAGGAGAGGGATAGGGAGTCAGAGATCCTTTCAATATTACTGAACCAGGACTCTCAGCCAGACTGACCAAAGGAGATGATGGTGAATCCAAATCTGAGCCATATTAAGGTAAACCTAGAACAAGATGAAGAACTTCGCAAGAGACATAGCTTAGCAGACTCCATTGTGAGGAAGAGGGAGGGGAAGGAATAATTGAGAAAGCAAAAACAAATCTTCTTTGTTCCATTTTTATCTATCNATTTTTTTCTAGCCGCAGAAAGACTGGCTTTCCAATGGAGGCACGGGGTAGCCAAGGAAAAAACCTTAATGTAACTGATTAAGGCTGTGTGAATTTCGTTCACCCTTTTGTTTCCACATGGAAACCGCTTCTGAACTTCATGCTTGGTGTGGAGAAAAATGAAACTTTGCCTTTGAGATTTACCGATTAGACTGATAGAACTTTATAGAAACGGCTTGTTCATACTACTAGGAAAAAGGAAAAAGTTGTGATTTGATGTTAATGCCTTATTTTATTGGAACAGAGAGAGTCGATAGTCAATGCTTCTTTTTCTTATCTTTCCTCACCTCTCCCTCCCCTTTCCTTCCCCAATGCTTTCCTATTTGCTTTGCATTTCATATTCATTATTACTTGATAACTCAGTAAAAATGTTAACGGAAGGCTGTGGAGTTTCTTCATTCTGTCCATGTGTGCATTTGGGCATGTGAGACCTCTACTGCACTTCACCTATACTTATGCTTACCAAATAATTAATATGAAATTATTATTTTTCTAGCCACAGAAAGACTAGTTTTCCAATGGCAGGCATGGGGTAGCCAAGAAAAAAGCCAGAATGTAACTGATTAAGTGGATCAGTTAAGCTGTGTGAATTTCGTTCATCCTTTTATTTCCACATGGAAACCGCTTCTGAACTTCATGCTTGGTATGGAGAAAAATGAAACTTTGCCTTTGAGATTTACCAATTAGACTGATAGGTCTTTATAGAAACAGCTTGTTCATACCACTAGGAAAAAGCTTCTTTCTGTAATCAAGAACAAACATTCTTGAGGGTACACAAGAACAACACTGATTTAAAAGATGGAGGATGGAGACCACCAAGCAAGGAAAAACATTAAAGGAGGATATGGCTGAAGGATCCAACCTCCTCTTATACTACTTGGAGGGCCCTGAATTGATTGAGAGTTGCAGTGCCTAAATGTAAAACCAGTACATTAGTCCTTGACTTACAACCAGAGGTAGTATTCAGCCAGTTCGCACTGGTTCACACAAATAGGTGATGGCCATTTCCCCGAGATTGGAGAACTGATAGTGATGACCGGCTGGCCACGCTCCTGAACTGGTTCCTCTGTTGCTGGTTGCTCACACTGCCTGCCCGATGCTCGCCCCGCCTGACCTTCACAATGCCTGTGGCTTCGGGAGATGCTAGCCCGGTGGGGACTGGGGCAGTGGCACGGCAAGCTTCGCAGCCACGTAGCTGCAACGCTTGCTGGGCTGCCCCTGTCTCTGCCAGGCTAGCATCTTCCAAAGTTGCCCGCATTGCAGCCATGATGGGGATGAGGCGGGGGGGGGGTAGGGGGCACCCTGGCAAGCTTCACAATCTACTTAGAAAGGAACAAGATTGGGCCCTTCTTTGAGGTAAGAGCCCCTCTGAGCCTCTGGCTTGGTGGGCTTGGATCAAAGTGGCAGTGCTTGGGTCTTCTTGAGCATAAACTCACCCAGATATTGTTAACAGTAGTAAGCAATTTATTTGGACTATGTGTGCTTACAAAGAATAACATCATGGCTAACTGCTTTCCATGTATTTGTAGTATCTAATTATGAAATGTTATTTAAGTTTTCTGTGCAGCCTTATAATATAGACAGTCCAATTCACACACGACTGCTTCATATTCAATTCGAAACATATTTTTTTGGTAAGCACCAGTGGTGGGTTTCAAAAATCGNATTTTTTTTTGAAACCCACCATTGTCTTGCTGGGGCTATTAAGAAAGGTGGGGGCTGAGCATGTTTCTCCATTAGGGAAATATCATATTCTGTCCTTTTAATATTTCTCAATATATTTCATTCTTCTAAGAGAGGGGTGGGTGCTAGCTTTGTAGAAAGGGCATAATAAACTGTCTTGTCGAATGCAAAACGTGGATTCCCCCCCCCCCTATACCAAGAATGAGGCAATGACTGGAGTCCTATTATTTGTTACTCATTGTTTTCTTTATTTGAATTGCACCATTTTTTTCCCTTCAAGCACATGTTCAAAGCTGCTGATTATATTTCTGTCTTCTTAGTAGATTTCCATATAGAAGAAAATATAGGAAAACAGGAAATAGGAGGAAAATTTGGAGATTTATGCATAACATCCAAGATCCCGCCTGATCAGCTTGAGAGATTATACAGGCGGAGAAAAAGGGGACAACTTGGTTGGTAGGAAGAGCTTTAGAGGAGAAGCTTCATCAGGAGGAGCCCAAGGAATGCTGGGAAGAAGGATGCAAAGGAGGGAGGGGCTTTGCTGCAGACAACGCTTTTGAGGACTGTTTCAAATGGAATCGCCTTTTTGTAATCAGGAGGGATTTCCTGACCTATCCCCTTTTTCTCTCGCTCGCAATCAATTTTTGTTCTGCAACTTTTAATGATGACATCATCTGCAGGAGCAAAAGAGAAAGGTTAGTGATCAGAGCCATCACTCAGACTCAAAGGAACTCCTCCACCCACACAAATACAGGTTTCTGATACTATCGACATGACCCGGTTCAAAAGACCCTACTTCAAATGCTCTTTCAAGAAGGCTGTAATGCTGGGAAAGGTAGAAGAAAGGATAAGAAGTGTCAGGCCTGCAATTATATTCCTTTTAGAATTTTGGCCTGCCACACTTTCTCTTATTTCATTATGCTGTTTCAATAGTATAGTTGATGGAGGGGGAAATAGACAGGAGTAGGGTTGTGGAATGTATTGTTGACATTCATTTCTAGAAGACCAAAGTCTTTTGTCTCCACACTTTTGCACCTGACCGGAAGCAGCTGGGTGGAGATGCCAGCCTGTAAGAAGAAGATTGGACCATGTGGCTGGGCGAGCAGGGCTTGGTAATCATGTGACTTGGTGGGCATGGCCAGCTTGACGTC